CTAGTATAGGATTCTAGTAGGGGATTATTATATTCTAGTGTAGATCATTCATATTCTAGTATAGGACTCATAGTCTAGTATAGGATTCTAGTAGGAGATTATTCTAGTGTAGATCATTCATATTCTAGTATAAAATACTCACTGCCATTGAGTCAATTCTGCCTCACAGGGAGCTGCAGGACAGGGTGGGACTGCCGCTGCGGGTTTCCGAGACATATATCACGCACAACTTGAGGAGAGTTTGGCTTTCTTAACACATTAAGAACCAGATTGAGAAAATCTGAAAACAGTTTTTTCAAGCTAAGGGTTTTGTTTGTTTGGTTTTTTTTTTTTAATAGAAGTTATCCTTAAAAGAGCACATCACAGTTTGTGTACACTCTGACCATCTGGTGGTTGCTATCTAGAATGTCTGTATTTTGCTATCAGTGAGCTGGGTTTTAGACCTTCTGTTTCAAAGTCTGTTGCGTATGAATGTCTAAATATTGTGACTCTTTGCACAGATGATACATAGGTGTGGTCCCATTAGTCCAAAGATGTTCTCCTTGGTTTTCATGACTCCCTGAAGGGCTGCACCCTGAGGAAGTAGAGGCCGAGAAGCCTAGCGTTTTGGGCACAGGGCACTGAGGACACATGAAGGGACTGATTGCCCTGGGGCCCACTCCAACTGAAGTGACCCCTTCCTGTTCATTTGCAAATACATACTGCTTCTGGCCTCAACTCAGATGTCGATCCGTGTTAGTCCTTGTATAAAATCTCTCAACCCCAGGAATGAGATCATCCATGTTGCAGAGGCAAGCACTGAATTTCCTTGTCCAGCATTGCCTGGGCAGGTCTGCTGGGTAAATATCCAGAAGCAGCCTTCCGTCTGGGGCCTGGCTCAGGCTGCCCAAGCCAGGAGCAAAGCAGGCGGGGACTGGAATCCAGGTGACTGGGGTTTATGTCCAAGAGCGGATGGCGGTGACAGACTGAAGGATGGAAGTGGCAGTCTTTCCCAGGACAGCCAGTGAGATGAGGCCACTTCGGGTGGGCCCTGATTGTGGCGGTCCATTTTCTAGAAGTTGCATGGGACCAACCGGCAACCCTATTTGGGCCTGCGTGAGCTTGTAGCCTACAAATACTTTCCTCCAGTGATAGGAAATGCCTTTACTACTCCATCTCTTCCTGGGAATTTTGAAAACCTCTCCTTACCCACGGGGAGACGGATACCCCCTGCCTGACCAGTCCCATGGGGAAGCCCGGTTCTGAGACCCTGGCAGTTCATGGTCTTGCTAAAGAAGAGCTGGAGTCTAGTGCTTGGTCTCTACCCTCATCTTTTTAGGAAAAATCCAGTTCTGAACCGGGAGGTTCCCTCAGAAGCCCTAGAGTTAGAGCCTGGTCTGGTGAAGAAGACAGTAGAGCAAGGCTTGGCCCGCAGATTCGGAGCAGAGGCCCCTGGTTCCACTCTTCCTTTAGCTCCCTGTTCTCTTACCCACTTACCTCCCACCAAGGCAGGAATCCCTGTGCCCTTGGCTTCTC